ACAATGTGCTTTTCTGCATCCTCATGTGCACTCATCTGATCCATTCTTTGATACTTATTTAAATGTTTATTAGAAAGCACACAGTACTTCCAAACCAATTCTCTAACAGAGTATTTGCTGAACTCACAGTCTTCTGTAGCATGCACTTCTGCTGCATGTTGCCAGTGACAGAGTTTAAAGCTCAATATATTAATTTTGCAATACTAATTAATAAGATCTAACAATGAGAAGAGACAGAGGAGATAGAAGAAGGAAAAAAAAAAGTAACTGCTGGAATAGGCAAGTTATGTATTCTATATAAATGGTCACAAAGAATAGGAAAAATAAAAGTAGATATTAATCTGCCCTAAGCCTCGAGGTAAATCATGCTATTTGATTACTGAAGTTCAGGTTATTTTCTATAATAAGTTCAACAGCCCTACTTGTAGGTAATGGAGAAGTGATTAGTAAAGCAAACTACTGTAGATTTGACTAATTATGAAACTTTAAAGTGCTTTTACCACTAAAATAGTAAGAATTTTATGAACGTTGTTTTAATACAAATAATTGCTTTTCCTGTTGTTTTCACAGATTGGAAATAGTTTTTTTTTTTTTTTTAAAGCTTAACCTATGTCACTTAAAGCAAGATAATAAAAAATTAACCTCCAAAGACGAAACCTGCAAGAAATGACTAAAAAAAACAGATTCTTTAGTGCTTATTACAAAATTATTACAACTGATCCTGAATTGTCAGCAGTGCAGAAAACTTCAGTAATTTGGCAGCCAACTTTACCAATGTTTCCCAATTTACTTTTAAGCATATAATGACTAACACCAGATTCATGTTAGTTAATTAAAACAAAGTAACAAAGTGACAGAGAAGGCAAGCATAGCTTTCTGCTTTTCTTACCATGCCCGATGCATTCATGTGTGGTATCAGCTTGGAATCTGGCACAATAACCTGCTGCTGAGGTGCTAGAAACAAACAAGAAATACCATTGTATGGAAACCATGCTGTCTGCCCAAGATAACACCCAAGACAGAACAATAACAAAGGACATCACACAAACATCAGCTGAGCTTTATAACCAAAGCTACTGAGCAGAAGCCTTACTCTCCAGACAATATACAACAGCAGCTGTTAGGTGGGATATGGCTATTTTCGCCTTAGAGGCTTATTTCTTTGGTTTGTTATCTATTCTGACTTGATCTAAAACAAGATTTAAAATACATTTCTGAAATAAAGGGTGTTATATTAAAACTTTAATAAATCTGGTGATGCATTTGAGTTCTCCAAAACCATCAGATAGCAGCGATTAACTCCTCAAACAGACTTATACAAGGACTGTAGTAAGATGAAGGATACATTAATCAAGTGTAACAGCATGAGTTAGGCCTCTAATGCACCGCTATGCCATAGCAAAATTGTTAGCATAAGCCCATGAACTTCACCAGGTTTTTGCTGTAGTAGGAATAGATGAAATATGCACAAGCACCTGCCCAAAGCTTTGGTGTGCTAAAGGAAGCAGATCACAGAATCACAGAATGAATCACAGAATCATTAAGGTTGGAAGGGACCTTTAGAGATCATCTAGTCCCACCTGATGTGACTCCTATCCAAGCAGCACCCTGACATAAAATTGTAGTGTTTGCGTATTAAATTTATATAGCGAAACTACGCAAAAAATCCTGCTGTTCATCAAGAAGTGCGAAATTGTATCCTGATGTATATGAAACTTGCAAGCTGAGTGCTAAATCCGGGCGCAGCAAACTAGAAGAAAATGGTGCCATTTGAACAGACTAATCATCAAGGAGGTATTATTCAAACCTGTAACTAAAGACATTACAAATACTGCGGGTAACCATTACTTCTGGGAAAGGCTAAGTGGGGGACACCACACGACCCTGCACCATAGTCACCAACTTTCAGGGAAACCTACGGAGCAGAAAGAGACGAAGAAAACCCCGTGACCATGTGCCAGGATCACACGCAGCCCTGCAGGAACAACCAGGACATCCCAGCTGATCTCTCTTGCAGAACGAGACCATCTCTCCTGCCGAAGAAACTGTTCTGCTAACCCATTCAACTCTCTCCTTCACTGCTCCATATCACCCACATAATAGGGGAGTTGGGTAACTTGTAAAATTGCATAAATCTGTGATTACAGTGTTTCAGTGCCATTTGATCTTAAACCACAACACACAGTAACAACAAGTCGGTTTAAAATGTATTGATACTATAAGTACCTTCCAGACAAAGACCCAAACTGGAGGACAGGAACTCCATATTACTGCCCAGGAAACTAGTCATTGGAGTCAGTGCTACCCAGCTACCTAGCCAAGAGGGGTCTGGAGCAGGAGAGCCGACCTCTGGGCCTCTCCAAGATGTCCAGATTGAGTTGCGATGCTCACAGAGACGTACGTGTATTTACAGGTCTTTATCGCAAAAATAATTTTATCTTAGCAGCCCAAATTGATTTATGTCCAGGCACACAGAGTATTACAAAAAGGAAAGTAAAAAGCCCAACACCAGGTTACTCTTATGGTGAAGATGAAGCATTATAATAATTCTCCATGGTATCTGTTTTGAATAGATCCTTTTGAGTTGTGGAGGGGAAAGTAAATAAATATTTAAAAAGCACCTCTTGGTTATCTTTTGCACCTACTATAACAGAGCCGTTGCTCCATATGACTGACAGCAGATACAAGGTTTCTTTTTGTTTTGGCCAGAACTATAACAGTGCACAAAAGTTCACTCCCCAAGTCAAACATGACATGGGCATCAGGTTTGTTTACACAGTAAAACAAATCCAGTAAAATCTAGTCATATTTATCTGATTTTTGAATTGAAATTACAATTGCTGAAAATAGTATTTCCCCTCAAATTACTGATGGAGAACACACAGGACAACAATTACATAAATTAAACATAATTAAAACATATCTTGAACACCTACACGACCTACACAATGTGCAATCAGACCACAACAAAAATAACTTTTATGCTTCTCACCTAAAATGCGTTCTAACACAAAAAACATTTCCTACATACAAACTGTTAGAAAAATGCTAGTCACCTCCTCTTGTACAGCGTAGCTTGAAACCCGGAAGTTGCTAACACGTTTTTTGACACAACTTAAAAGTCTACACTGAAAAATTAAAGTTACTCAGTAGTATAAGACCAAAAAAAGGATTCTGCTTTTCGAACATCTTCTGCAGAAGGTGACTGATACAATTATATGGATATTTTTCTATGCACACTTTTTCCTTTTTTTTGGACAACTGTCTTAATCTATAAAGCAAGGACAAGTAGAGAAAGCTTGACATAAAGACACAAAATTAACCATGAGATAAACATCCTGCCCTGAATGACTAACGTGCAACGAATCTGGTCTCAACTGAGCACCTTGTCCCGGAGATGTTAGCGAATGAGCCTGACCTTGCTGAGATGCTGGAATAAGGACTTGTTGGGGCTGAGACTGCTGCTGCACAGTCTGCTGCGGCTGAGGTTGTGTGTGATGGTGGTGGTGGTGATGCTGTTGCTGCTGCTGTTGCTGCTGCTGCTGTTGCACCTGCAGCAGAAGTTGCTGCTCTTCTGAGTGGAAGCCATCTACAGCCTTGGATTGCATCAGCTTGTTCTCCCACAGCTAGTTTGAAAAAGGAAAGAGGAATCTGTGTACTATTTTTGTTCATTCAGATGTGCAATGACATAAACACAGTACAACAAAACTGAAGGTTTTCATCGTTTATCTCGGTCAATAAACTTAACCAAAAAGCCTTTTGGCATGCATAGGCTCAAGATTTAACTCCAAGGAGGCATAAATATTAAGAGGAGGAACTAAGCATCCCATAAGAATAGTCACTCCAAGCTTAAACTTCAGTTAGCAATCTTTCTTTCATTAATGGAAGAATCATTACAACCTTAACAGAAGAACAAACAGAAATTAATTAGCAACTTTAAATCTGCTTTCTAGTTTCAACTTCTCTATCTTCATTTTTTTAAAAAGACTTCTTTAAACAGGGGAGAGAAAAAAAAAAAAAACTTCCTCTTTAAGGCCATGTCCTAAACAACTTCCTAAAACTACTAAATACTAGATGCTTGAAGATTTTTCCATGATAACACACTTTAATAGAAACTGCCAGTAATACCTACAGTAAGGTCCAAACCTTTACACAATTTCTACCATATCAATATCAATTTCAGTGTCTCCAACCTTTCAGTTCCTTGACTTTAGCTGACAGGGCTCCTAAAGGAGCCACAACCACAGCAAAGCAGTTCTTGCAAAAAAGGCAGTAAGTATTCCATAATACATGCAGTCAAAAAGACTGCAGGCACGCACCCAGGATCCTTAATCTCAAATCCTGCTTAAGACTTCCTCACTATTTCTCTTCAATACTTTATCTTCTTTCCTGTATCTTTCCTCATTTAATCTTTTCCTAAATTATTGTAAAATATGTGTATGACACAAACATTGAGACACTTTTCTTATGGCATTCACTGTCTTTTCCTTCTCTCCCTGCCCCCCACCCCACATCACACTAGGTCGTGATTTGGAAGGGTTAAGGGAGATCTTCACCTGTTTCCTTATAGCCCATACTGGAACTCGATATTTCTGTCACACACCACCCAATTTTCAGTATTACGCACCGAGCGCAGTATTCTCACTTATTGAAGGACTCCTTGTTCAACAGCTGAACTGGGCAGATATCTACTTTCCCAGTTTCCTTTATTTCCTCATTTTATGCTACATCTTTTTCTCATTCTCTTTTCAAGGGCATCTTTGCTCAGAAAGAGTTTAAAGAGCCCATATGAGACCGGTATTAGAACCCACTTTTGGCTCCCTTAGATCACCTCTAACCCATTAAAATACAGAGAATACTCTAATTAGAGTTTAGGGAAAAAAATATGATGTGCACAGTATAAGCTAGTATGGAAATCAAAAATTTCATATGCAGGTAAAGAACACCTGACAATAAAACTCTTTCTTAAGACATAAACAAAATGTGACACAATTGAAATAACACAGGGAATTCTGATGCCTGTCATGAGTTTTCATCAAAGTTAAACTTCCAAATAACCAAAGATAAACAGATACCTGCATATGGAAATTTAATCTGAAAGATACGGGGCTACAGATACGAAGATTAATATACTAAGCTAACTAAAAATTATAATCTTTACTGTGTATAACAGTAAGCAGCATACAATCACTCAGTGTTATTAGTCTATTAAAAACAAAAAAGTTACAACTTACTGTTTTGAGTTCCATAAGAACTTGTTCATCCACTCCTTCATCCAGAAAAACTTCTCTGACATCATTGATGACATCTTCAATTACGGACCTGTACAATTTAGGCTGTAAGAGAAATAGCTAGTCAGTGCTACTTGTTTAAAAAGAAATTTAACACTATAATATTAAAATGACATATTTTGTCTTGAAAAATATCTGAAAACTGCATACAGAATAGAATGTATGCTTCTGAGTGACTACAGTTTCCAGAAGGAAAGCATAAATCAGCAATATCAAAGAAAAAAAAATGACAACTCTTTCTAGCTCTGCTTCTATCATGGACTAGCAACAACTGCACAAAACGAGCTCCGAAGCCGTCGCTACCACTCAGAGGCAAGACTCAGAGTTGCAACAGTTCAGTGATAATGTTACATCAATACTTGCCACATTAAAAAACAAACCAAGTGTTCGGCAACATTACGAAAAGAACAGAGAACAAAACCAAGGCATCCATTATGCTCTATGTAAAGTACTTAGATAACAGTATATAAAATACTCATTTTTTTGCCCATGTCTTAAATAGTGCATGTATTTCTGCTTTCATAATTTCACGACATGTAAAGAATAACAAAAACAATCAAGAGATATGGAATGTCATTCCTCACACGCAGCTAAAGTAAACTATGAGAATGCGTCAAAACTGTATGGTAGCTTAGAATGGCTATAAGAAGGTGAAATGGGAACGGACTGTTCGCTACCTTTGTGATACAGCCATGGGAAAAAAAAAACTGTCGAGATATCGAGTTGAATTCAAAATAAACAAAAGAGTTTTCCATTCAGCAATTTTTTTTGCTAACAAGCTTAACTGTTAGACATGCAAAAATCTTTGCATGTTTGCATGTTTGTCATAGAATTATAAAGGCTCAAAAGGATACTACACAAATACATTAAAAATATCTTTAATGTTTGCTAACTGAACAAAAAGCAAATCTGGCTCAGGAAGTTCACAGGATAAAAACTCAGAACCAGGGCACATGAATGATCTGTTCTTCCATTGACATCTGCTTACACAGACTACTGAAGACTTTTGCTTTTCAGTCAGTATTTCTGTTCTTACATTATAAATTCTTCAGAGAAAAAACTGCACATACATCTTTATTTCATGCCTAAACTGTAACTGATACAGTGAATTTAAACATCCAGAAACGATTCCAAAAGAATATAAACGCTTAACCTTATCAGCTAATGCATAAAGCTCAAGTCTATAAGCCCACAGGATAAGCGTACTATACATATTTCACACCTTTCAAACAGATATTATAGCTTGGATGTCTGCAATGGCATATGAACATCAAAGAAATCCTTGTTATGTTTAAACATCTGTGCTAGCTAATTGCAAGGTAGAGGTAGGAGTTGTGAATCAGCAGAGAGAGAGTTCTACAGTTTGGAAACCACATATGTTTCACTGACAACAACTGTTTTTTTTAGGCTGTCTGTAGACTTTTCTAAAGTAATCTGGAAGTAGTTGCAACCTCTTCTAACAGTCAAATCCCTGCCCCTACTCCATAACTTCCAGCCTCACCAAAGCAGTAAAGCTCAAAGGCACTGAACACATCACCCTGCACGCCAGGACAGCTGTGCACAAAAATAACCCAAAAAACAACAAAAAAAAACCCAACACATCTTACACTAAAGCACATATGGCTGGATGGTTGGACTGGCATTTTTAGGACTAGTTAAATTTACCCCATACACATCAACATTTGCTTTATGCATATGCAGCTGCTTAATTCATACCAGAAATACTGGATTTGTTAAAGATATGTTAAATATACTACATATATGCAGTAGGTACATTCTAGAATAAGGGATGGAGGAGCAATACATCATTTACAAGACCAAGACAAAGTTAAGAGGCCAGCAGACCACTATGCACCAAAAAAAAAGACAGAATATCATTGTTTCCAAATGTAAGAGAGTTTTAAGAAATGTACTGATATCACAAAGAAAAGAAGCTATCCAGAAATCTGAAAACAGGGTATTCGCTCTTCTGATGGTTCCTTAGTGCACTAAGTCCTTAGTGATTTTGTGACAGGGTATTCTGAAATGCTTTTTTCTTTAAGAATTTTGATCAGAAAATCAACACTTCAATATTCTGGCAGGCAGTGTGCTAGAACATCCTATTTTCTCTTCATTTTCATTGGCTTTCCACTTTTCAACATTAAAATGTATTGCTGCAAATCAAGTGGCTGAAATGGCAGAATTTATCATCTTGTTCCTTGCCTCAGCACACATTTTCCAACCTGAAGTAATAGGATAAGTTTGTTTTACTTGAACATAGCTGCTGTAAACATAGTTTTCAAAACTCAACTTCTCCAAAAAAAGTAAAACAGCAGATTATTTTGAGAAACCTTTTTCTTTCAAAATAATATTATATACTTGCACATTTAAGCTTTAAGTAGAGCATTAACTGCATCAATACAGATATTCCAAAAGCAGACTACTCTTGAGAATTTTTTTTTAGCTCTATGTAGCAAGAAAATTAGAAATGGCACACTCCAGTAAGAGGATTATTCTTCTTCTTAAGTAATTCATAGCAGATGAAAATAGATGCTCCATTTAATAACCCTAGAAGGATCTAGGGACCTCAACAACTAGATTCTTAATTCAAAGATGATTTCAACATGAACTTCAAGCTTTTGAAGTCATGTTTTCCGATAGTCAACGAATTTCATAAAGTTTAGACAATGCACCTAGCACAAAAATGCTACTCGACCATTGTACTAGCATTGCCTGCGAGCCAAGAGCGCATTATGCAGATAAACATGCTTAACTTCAGGCACCTGCATTGTTCCTCCTAAGTCAGTGGGACACACTGCCTATGTATCTGCATCTGCAGGATGGAAACTGTTTGCTCCTTGAATCATCTTTTTGCTCCACTTCACTATTAAAACCAACTTTATATAAACAGTCCTAATTTCAACCAGCAGTTACCTCCTCTTCTCTCCAGGATCAGTCATTTTTGTAAGGTGTATTTACAAAGTTTCATCAGCTAATAGAACCAACAGGAAAATATTAATCATCAGACACAGCAAGCTGATTCTATAGCTAACAGTCTGCTTGGGAACATTTTCTTTTTCCCATGCAATAAGTAAAAAGACAGACACACAGACAGACAGACAGAAAGACAGAAAGACAACACTGAGCACAACGATGGTTTAGCAAAAGAACCATTCACGGCAAGAGTTAGAGTTCATTTTTATCATTCCATGGGTCAGAAGTTTTGGACAGCATTCTAGCTACATACTGTCACAACACCCAGAAAAGTTATGATTGTATGAGGAGGAGGGAAAAGAGGAAAGACAGAAGTATCTGCACATTTACAGTAGACTCACATCTGCCCTTCCCCTCCCTCCCCTTCCCAATTTTACCCATATATTTTTATAACGTATTCAGAAAAATGGTCTTGCCTGCCTGCATACATCCTTATGAAACACCCAGCTCAGATAGGTCTTGTTGCTGTCACTCATGAAAGGAGTTGCATCTTTCTCAAGAGACATCTATGGTGGAATTTCAAAAAGAGCACAAAATGCTCTCTTTTGCTACTTAGCAAAAGCATTTTAAGGGCCAGCATTAAGAACTGGCCCTTAAAAAGGAGCAGGGTGCACTGTCTTAGATATATGCAAAGTGCTGACTGTAGCCATTGTTTATATGGTGCTCAAGTTGTTTATATAAACCCCTAAAATTCTCAAGCTGAATGACAAAACCATTTTCATACACTGCTTGCTCATTCAAAACCTGAACTTGAGAATGCAATTACTTAAAAAGTCTAGAGATGGGATCCTTGGTGAATTAAGTCTTCTGACCAATTTTTATATTCAGTCAAATGAGGCAATGAAAATGTACCAAAATTCTTTCTCATCAGACTGTAAATGTTAGTAACCCTCCACTCCAAACAACTAAATCCAAATCCTTTGCACATCTTTTTCCTACTTTTTTCACATTTTTTTCCTCTTCAGAACTCTTGTTCTATGGTTACCAGAGTTATACAAGCATGCATAAAGACAACCATCTCCAAATCTAAGTCATTTTCTTGTAATTCTTTCGTACTAACCAATCACTTCAGCTTTACTGCATTAGACCTAAAGATTTAACTGCATGTTTAGATTACCGAGTGATATGTAACAAAGTTTAAGAGAAATCCCAGCAATAAATTCATCCAGTGTTCTACAGAAACTTAAAAGATTACCATTATAATAATCATGCTTTCATTTGGTTTATATTAAAGTGCTTCCTTCATAAAGTGCACGCTATTGTAAACTCTAAGCCCTCTTAAGAGCAAACATTCTCAAACTGCTCTTCAATAAACACTGTTCCAAACACTTACTATAGATGAAAGACAACAATTAAAATTCCTGATTTATTAGATACAACCGCAAACACATAGAAAAGGTTTGAGATCTGGTAATTCCCCCTCCGGGGACATAAGGAAATGATTGTGTCTCCCTCTCTCTGTGCATCTTGTAAAAGAAAATCCTGAGCACAGTGAAGACTGCTACACACACACAGAAAAATCCACAGAGCAAACAGCAAGCTATTTTAAGAAGTACCACATGCCTTTAGGGGCTTACGTTTCCCACATTCCTCCAGAGCTTCAAGGGTGCGGATACCGTACCTCTTTGTAGTTATTATTACAGCACCCAGATTTCAGCAGTTGGGGTTCCCATAACCAAAATATTACACAAAGATGCATGCTGCACACTTTCTGCATTTGACAGCAGTTTGTCCCTGCTCACTTCTGCATTTATCCCTGAAACATCTCGGATGAATTCCTCTAGTCTATGGAGCTGTTGTAAGGATACCTAAAGGAGCACATTGTAAAGGTAGGTAACTAGTTTCAGCTACAATTGCATCAAACAGGTGCCTAAAAAGTAGGAACACATATACTTATGATCAATTACTGAAGCTGTCAAACTTCAAGAAATTACTTTTGTCACCTACAAAATCTTTTACTGCTTGTAAAACATTAACATTTATATGTCCTATATTAGGAAGAACATGCTTCCAGGAATTCAGATTTGAGGAGATGCTGTGGCAAAGTCTAGCCCACTAAAGTCATCATCCTAGTGCAGGATTCTGAACTGCTCTCACTCACTTGGATAACCCTACGCTAACTATATTGACCTACTACTGAGTAAAAGCTGAATTTTACAGAGTTAACCATGCAGTATCGATTGTAACAGGCGTATCTTCACAAGGTTGTTCTCTTTAGTTCAGAATTGTCCTGAAGCCTGGCTAGCTTTATTCTGAACACAATGTTCAAACACAATCTCTTCTGAGAACCTTACAGAAACACTGCTATGCCAGGACACAGCCCAGAAAAATCAAGCCTCAGTAAACTGCTTCAAAGATACCTACAAGTACTTTGAAGATTATTCACAGTGTTTTTTTTTTTTTTTTACTTCTGTTCATTACTAACTTGGTGTTAAAAAAGAAAGAGTGAGAAAAAGAGAGAGAAAGACAGATTACAGAAATAGATCTTTTTCTTTTGACAACAACAAAGTCAGAGTTTTATACAGAAAAGGATAGCTGACAAATCTAGGTCACACACATGATATGCATTTTACTGAGTCCTGCATGTAATCACTGACTACTTTTCTAAGACTCTGATACAAAATCTGGTAAAACATCAAAGTAACATGACCCTCGATCATTTCAAGCTTGAATAAAAAAAAATATATGTTTCACATTTGCTACTACTGTTATTCTAAGCAGTATACAAAATATTGCAGTTAAATCAAGAAGTAGTGAGAACCCTAAAAGCCTTGCACTTCCTAGACTGCAACAGAAATACCTGCAGGCTCATCAGCTTTCGCCACCAGAAACACTCAGAAACATTCAAGCAGCATCCTGCAGCCCATGACCCATAGACAAAACTTTAATATTAAATTCATGATGCTTTTAGCTCCAGAGCTGCTGTCAGACCACGCTCTGACCTTGGCAAAGTGCCTAAAACAGGTACCACATATCTTTTTGACATATCGGATCCAAATCTCTTGTTTTGCTCTTACCTATCAGGGGAAGAAGAAAACAGAAAAGCAAAGCAAAAAAAAAAAAAGCAGGTTTTTAAGAGAGTCCATGGGCATACAGGACTCTGCACTTGCTAAGGACAAGTGCAAAACAAACAAATAAAAAATAAACACTTTCACAACACGTAAAAGGGCGGGGGTGGGAGATCCCTTCCTTGGTGCAAGGCACAGATGGGGGAAAGTCCATGCACAGCGGCGAGGAGGAGCAGCCGGGCGCGCAGCCCCTCCGCTCGGGCCGGCGGCGAGCGCAGAGCAGCAGCCCCGCGCCAGGGCTGCAGCCGAGCGCGAGGCCAGGGACAAAATAAAAAGCGAGCGCCCGTCTCCCTGCCTCCCTGCCGATGCATGCACCTCCCAGCCCGCTCTCGGCGGCTCTCTCCCTATTTAAAGGCTGATGTGGTGTTTAAATGGAGAGGCGGTGACGTGGGGCTGGAAAGCACCTTCCCATCCAGGCAGAGTCTATATTAGAGAGCGGCAATAGCTCTATATAAACAGGGCAGCCGCAGGGAGGAGGAACACAAGGCGCAGGGAGGCAGGAAGGCAGGCGGCCATGATGGATCCCAGCGCCACAAACAAGGGGCCGAGCGGGCGCCGCGCCGCCTGGACTCCCCTCCCGGTTTGTCGCGGCCGTGCGGGGGGGCTCGGGGCCGCTTTCGGCGTAGTAAAGGGGAGGAAAGAAAATAAAAACAAAATGGAAAAAAAAAATGAAAAAAGCGACTGGGGCTGGATGGCTGCGCAGGTTTCTGTGACTGCTTATTGCAAACCTCGGTGAGCAGCAGCTACACAGCGAGCCACCCGAGTGCGGAAAGCACGAGGAAGGGCAGAGGAGCGGGGGGGCT